CAAGAACACGACGGTCGTTGGAACAATGATTCTTTTTTTTTTCAGTGCAAAGGGATCTACTTTCTTTTTATCGTAGTTCATAACTTTCCAAAGATTTTATAACTGACCATACAACATGTGGAAGACTTCTTCAGACTCCTAACTCCTACTATCGGTGTATCACTTTCATTACAACCGACTTTCAAAAATAAAAGACGAATCGAGGGGGCAATAACTCCCTTTTGAAGTGTACACATGATTCCCGAAATTCTTGATTCCCGGTGATTCCCGTCCGCTTATAATTATTACATAAGTTTTTAGGGGGGTTTTAGTGGTATAAAACGCTTATTTCGACTGATTTGTACTTATTTCTCTAGTTTCCCGCTTATTCTAAGCGATTTCTATTGATTTTGATCAATTTTTATCCTGATGATTCCCAGACAGGTGTACACATGATTCCCGGAGTTATTGCCCCCTCGAGACGAATACATTGGCGAACGCTAATTTATCATAGCGAAAAGTGCCGTATCTGATAGTTTTTGCGGTGAAAATAAAAACGGTTGGAGTTTTCCAAACCTAAACGGTTTTGGTCGTCGTGTATGGACTGTCGCTCACCTCTGCTTTGTCGACGGCGGCCGGCGTTGGCGGATGGACTCCTCGACGGGGTGCCTTTCCCGGAGAGCGGGAGGGCGAGTGTGGGTGCGGGCGCGAGAGCGAGCGCGAGAGCGAGCGCGAGAGACAGGGAGGGAGGAGTGAGAGAGGGAGAGCAGCGACCCGACTCGACCCAACCAGTCCGATCCGACCCTCTCGCGGGGCGCTCTGCAACCGACTGAGGACAGGACCCGACCAACAGGACTCCGCTAGTAGGGGATGGGCCGGGCGGGGGCGGGGCGCCGAGTGTGGCGGCGAGGGCGAGCGTGCGGACCATGATGGGGGCGAGCAGGAGCTGCGCGAGCTGCGGCCCGGGTATTAGAGCGCAGCAATAGGGTATTCTACCCAGTTTAAACCTGGATCCAATGAAGAACAGTGATGCTTCCTGAACTGTTTCCTCCCTGACGCTCAATGGGTGACGCGGGTGAAGTTCGTGGACCTGCCATATTCAAGATCGCTGCGATTGCTGCTCTAGTGACAGGTCCGAGAACATCGTCCGCGTCAGCCTATGAGCGTCAGGATGGAAACAGTCCAGGCAGTAATACTATTTTTCTTTAGATCCGGTTCAAACTTGGCGAAATGCCCTGTTCGAGTCCCACAAATTGGACATTTTACAAGTGTTCCGAGTCAGGCTGATTGACCAAGGCGACCTCTTAACTGAAGAAATGAATAATAAACGAAAGAATGGATGAATTGGCGGCTGAGCGAATGAACGACTGAATGAATGAATGAATGAATGAATGAATGAATGAATGAATGAATGAATGAATGCCGAATGATTGAATGAATTGTGGGTGGTGCCGTTTGTTTTGCCTTTACAGACGCAATTTTGAAAAAGAACATGAATCGATTATTAGATTAACTTTGGCCCACCGGGGTAACTTTGTCCAGGGCCTAAAGTTGTGTTTAAAATGCTAAAACGGTGCTGAAGAGTTCACTGTAGCTTACGGTGAATTCACTGCAAGCTACAGTGAACTCTGCAGTACCACTTAAGCATTTTAAACACAACTTTAGGCCCTAAAGTTACCCCGGTGGGCCAAAGTTACCCCAGTTTACGGAACTTAATTTTAAGCATGCGTGATTGTGGTGTGATGTGATTTCAGACGCCCAGGAAGAGTCAGAAGATATCCAAAAGCATCTCGGTGTTATTATTTAAACTTTCAACTGTTAACATGATTTCAACGTAGAGATCAGGTGCTACAAAAAGTAATTATTTTGAAATTCTAGTACGAAAGGATCAATTTGAACTTTACAGCGGCCAGGTGGTTTCCGTTTGTCGTGTTTTGGGGCGGAGAAACAATTTTACGCTACTTCGTTTTACCTAACAAATGTTTAATTTTCTAATTAAGGTATGAGAAGGAAGAGAACTACCTGAGAACGAAGTTTAGAGATGACGACCTTCATCTCCTCAAATTTTGAATCCGAACCGCGAAAATAGACGCCCCCCCTCCCCCAGTCCCCCCCCTTCCAATAGTTGAAAGAAGTTCCGATAGAGCGCGTTAGTGACTAGTGGCAGACGTGCAGTCAGCTGTTAGGATAACAAAGAGGCAGTGGATATGAAGGTAGCGGCATTCATTCCCTCTTTTCCGTAATGCAATTGATTCAACTAGTTAATTTGCTTTTTTCTATTATCCGTACTACCAAAGTCCAGATTATCATAGGCAGTCCAATGACAATTAATTTTTCGGTGTGTACTGATGGAAGAATTCCATCACGTAACGCTTAACCTCTCAAAGACCGCTGATGTCCAAAATTTAGAAAAGTAAACAGGAATTAAACATAGGGCTTTTCCCCTGATCTTTTGTAATTATTATTAATATTTTCAACTAGCGCATGCTTAGCATATTTTCTTACTCATTCTGGTATTAATTGTTTTATGTATGAAATTCTCATTTAATAAGTTCTAACTAGCAGTGTTTTTGACTAAAGTGCCTTTGCCAAGATGTTGTTTATCACATAGTCTGTTTACCTTATTCAACCTTTTCATTAATATGCTCCAATGAAAAACTTACTTCAATGTCATTTTTTGATGCATTGTCACCCTCCTAAATAAGAACCATTTACTTCAGAGTGGAAACTCCAATGTTTGTCTATTTTGCTCTGCAGTTGTTACAAGTAGAAAGTTGAAAATACTACAAAAATGTCTGCTAAAGATAAAGACAGTAAACCGCTGCGGCGCCTTAAGCAATTTTTTGGGATTCACAATAAAGGCGGGATAGGTAAGTGTGAAAGTCCTTTCCTTATTGTCACATTATTTTCAATACAGATGTGTTTATGACTTTCAATTATTCCTTCACAGCAACACTAAGGGGCCGCCAAGATTTTGTTCTGGCCCCTGAAATTGAAGCTCAGCTTCGCAAGGAGAATCCAATTAATCAGAGAAATAGGGTTTTAAGGGATCTCTGCGAAGATGTCAAAGAAAATAGCGTTGACTATGTATGTATATTGAATGGTTATGACCTTAGTTCTCTTTCCTCTAATTTTGACAATCTTATTCAGTCATGAACAATTTTCTTTTTAGGGTGACATGGAAAAGTTAAGGTTACTAATTGAAGACCTTTTTTGCCCTGAAATTCCAAAAGACTATCGCAATCAGGCATATTCTTTCTACCGATGCCTCATTGCTGGTCAATATGACCGACTTCACAAAATGCGCGTTCACATTTTTGATATCATTAAGGATAATGACATCCAGGAAGACGTTGCTCTCAGGTCAGAATGTTGTTTCCTTGACCGCTTTTGAATTTTAAAGACAGCATCTTTCAACAGATTATACATTGATATCTTCTCTATAGGTTTGATTTGCTGAATGCACTTACGGATAATGGAAAAGTGATTGAACATCTGGAAGAGAAAATGGGTCATTTCTTACTATCATGGATGCCAGCTGTAGTTACTGCTAGCAAAACAGAAGAATTCTTAACACTTCTTGTGAATGTGGTTAAATACAATGCAGCTTACATGGATGATGATGTCATCATGCAATTAGTCCAGTATGTGGAGTACTCTTGAACACATTGTATCGCATAAGGTCTCAGTGATTTTTTGTAACCTTTCATTCTATTAAAAATTGCAGGAATGTGTGCTACTTGTGTTGTTGGGTAAAAGATAAAAATGTTGTAATGGGATGCCTTCAAGTGCTTGATACAGTGGTACGATATTCCAATCTTCCCTCAGAGTCATTGCAAGACTTTGTCAGTGCTCTTTGTCGAACAGTCAACATTGAAGCATATTGCCAAGAAAGCTGGAAGGTATGAGTACTCTTTGAAGTAATGGTACTTTCTTGTGGTACTCTTTGGAAGTGATACAAACTTTGCCTTCCAGATAATGCGGAATCTTCTTGGAACACACATGGGTCATGCAGCTCTCTATACAATGTGCCGTATTCTCCAAAAGAAAGATTACCAACAAGACACTGGCCTTATGCGTGGAGCTGTATTTTACATAAACATGGGACTTTGGGGGAGTAAGCGAGTCCCATCATTGGTATGCACTGAGACTTCCGTGCTACCTTCGCTTCTCCAGGTATTTATCTTTTGCATCAATTTGGGACAGTGATGCCCCTTTATTATCTTGTCTTATATTCTTACTTAGTTTCTACTCCTGTTTAAAAACTATCTGTTAATTTAGGCAGCCTCAGCTGGTCAGGCTGTTGTAGTCTATGAAGTAATGCTGAGTTGTCAGCGATTAGTAAATAAATATGGGGTTGAACTCCAAGATCCTGCTTGGGATTTGCTTCTGTCTATACTGGAGGCAGTTGTGAAACATATAGGTAGACATATTTCGAATATGATTTACCTTATATCTATTGTTTTTTTTAAAGAATCATTATTACTCTTTTTTTCTTTTCTTGCTATTATAGAAGTTTCACCTCATCCAACAGCTCAACAGTCTACAGCTCTAGTAGGAAAGCACTTGCATGAAACTCTTTGCCACATAGAAAAGTTGTATGAACTTGGTCAATTTCAAGGATCTGCAAGAAGAGTCTTCGAACTTATTGAAAGGTGCTCACCTCATAGGCCGGTAAGTTAATCCTCTAGACTATTTATTTCATGAGAAACTTTTGGGTAATGGTCAATTTCCTAATAGATCAAATACTTAATCTTAATACTTACACATGAGTCTATTATTTTTTAGGAAGCATCTGTGATGCGCCTTGTGACGTATCTTGCCAGTTCTGTGGAGCCAACACGTCACCAGTGGCTTGCAAAACTGCATGCTCTCTTAGAGAAATTTTTCCGTCTAGAAACAAGAACAAAAATTAGAGTAAAAGTATTAGGAGTTCTAGAAAAAGTTATACAAACAAACAGGTATTTTAGTCAGGTGCAACAAGCTAACTGATATAAAGACTTTTTTACTTACTGTTTTCTTTGTAATTATTTTTCCTAGAGCTGCATATGAAGATGAGTTGATAGAACAAGCAGTGGTACCTTTCCTAGACCATATTGACCAAGATCAGGATGTTGCTGTGAGAAATGCTGCTGCTGGTCTCCTAATTGAACTGTGTTTGAGTTGTGACTCTAAGAGATGTCTTGAACTATTGGATATACTTGAAAAAGTAGGCATACTCCCACACGTTCATTTAAAATATCTTGAAATTAAGAACTAAACAATATTGTTTTTATTTTTATTTTTCTTAAAGCTCTTAAACAGGCCTTTTGAAGTGCCAAATATTGTTGATTCCGAATTGATTGATACTTGCACTGTTGCAAAGGGAGTTGTGCACATTTTTGTGGCAAAAATGTATCAGCTGCCATCAGCCCATGCAATTCGTGCTTATAAAATATTAGTGAATCACCTAGAAATGCATTATCGAAATCAGTCTGTACTAGATAATCACCGCTCAATCCGTCAGCCGGTATGTCATCACCTAATTGAACATTTTCATTTTACACTTGATAACTATTAATTTCTTTTTATGTACTACTTAAACTAGTTAGTACTCTTTCATATTAAATTGGGAGTCAACTTCTGCTTTAAAATTTTCTTGTGTTTCTTTCAGATATTTGAATGCTTTTTATGCATCAGAGCAAATTATTCTTACCAGCTTGGTTATCCAGGAGGCATGAAAGCTGAGCTTGGTAAACCCTTAGTTTTCAGTCCTTATCTTGGGGTGGATCATAAGCATGGGGAGAGAACAGGAGGTGCATCATCTCCTCCACCTGTGAGCCCTGCTCCATCTGCACATGTACCTTGTGTCTTTACTGCACTCTCTCTGACTCATGCTTGCAAGGCAGTTATTTCTGGGTTGAGGCATGAAAGAGGTATTTTTTTCTTTTTTTACCCATTCATTTATAAATTTTGCAAATTTAAAGTTTTCCTTAAATTTCCATTCTTTTTCTTTCATAGATTGGAAGGTCCTTGAATTAATCTTATCTCAGGTCCCAGAGGTGATGAAAAATAAAGCTCTTATTTTATCACGACATGCTAATGATATTGATCAAATGGCTGCATCACTATGCAGCATAGTGAGTTTTATGGTGAGTTTAAATTCTTCCTTTACTAATTCTACTCATTTTTCTTATGTAATTTTAACTTTGTACTTAATAATTTACTCCCTTAAATTTTGTCTTGTGTTATTCAGCTAAATGACAGAAGTTTACCAGATACACTGCGTAATACGCCTTCACCTAAGGAAAGCAGATTCTCTCGATCTGATTTCCACAGCTACCTCTTTCCTGTGTTAGCATCTTTAGCATCTTATCATAACAACCTTGATCCTCCTCATCAGAGAAGATTAATCTGCTCCCTTGAGCTAGGTATGTGCCTTGTTGTTCAAGCTCATTTTCTATACTACTTTTGTTGACCCTTTGACCTGGCAGTTAGTTCACAGTTATTGTTTTTGTCTTAAGTGTTTTTAATCATTTTTCTGAACTCTCAGGCCTGCAGTCCAAATGTGCTGCAAAAGTGATCTCAGCACTGACAACATGTACATTGGAGATGAAAGATGCTATGTACAAATTGCTACCAGAAGTTTTATTAAATCTCTCTAAAATATCAGACACAGTCAATATTGCATTGCCTATCCTTTCATTTTTATCAAGTGAGTCTCTTTTTTCCCGCACTTGTTTTTCAGTGTTCAACGTGTTTAGATTGCTTAATTTCTTTTCCTCTTCTTAATTGTTTTCAGCCTTGACTAGACTGCCCAAGGTGTTTGCAAGTTTTGTTGGAGACCAGTACATGTCAGTGCTTGCTATCTCCTTGCCATACAGCAATCCTTTTAAGTACAATCATTTCATAGTTTCTCTAGCTCACCATGTTATAGCTGTATGGTTTCTCAAATGCCGTTTGCCATTTCGGAAAGACTTTGTTCAGTTTATTACCAAGGTAAAGTAAATATTTTGTTTAATACTATAAATTCTTTCTCTGGGAAAAAATTTATTTATCTATTTTTTTCCTCAGGGGTTGAAAGCAAACGTTTCACAAATGTCATTAGAGGATGGACAAGTTTTAAGGCAAGACCCTTTGAAAGTAGATCTCTTGAATGAAGACTCATCAAGCAGGAAACGCAGCTCTTCTTTAACTGAACAGGTTAGAATTTTTCTTTTTAACAGGAATCTTAAGAACTTATGAGGACCTATTCTCATAACTATGTTGAGTATTTATTTTTTAAGTTTGAATTTTTGTGTCTAAACCAAGTATTTGGGAACCTTCATTTACAGGGCAGCCGAAGGCGCACGATAGGGTCAAGACTAGATGCTCGAATTGTTGATCTCAAACCTCCGGATGAGGCATTGACTCTTTTCCACATGGAGCTGACAGAGACTTGTATTGACTTAATGGCCCGATATACTTTCTCTACATGTGCTGCTATGCCCAAAAGGTACTGGTAGTGCAGGTGATCTGAATTTTGTATTTGGTTTTCTGTTTTCTCACAGCAAATATTTTAACTCCGACAGATTGCCAGCAGTTCGTAGCTTGCTTAGTGGTGGCCAGTCCATGACGTGGCTACTTGGGAACAGGTTGATTACTGTCACTACCAGTGGATGTACCCAAAAGGTCAAACGTGATGGACTCTGTGACAAGTGCTTGTTGTCTTGTCGATTAGAGCAGGGTAAGACAAACTTGTTAAAAAATGTTTAATCTTAATTCAGTGACATTCTTTACCCACTTTATTCTGTAAATTACTGCTTCAGCAGACGCTACCACAGAAAGCTCCACTTGCGACCTTTCTGGGAGCAATCTACCCCAAGAACGAATATCAAGAACTGAGCAACAAAACAAAGCAACTCTTCAACGGAGTAATAGTGTTGATGTAAGTATCAGCAACAGTTGAATGTTAAATATCTACATCAAGTACTATTTGTGGTTTTATTTCTGCAGGTTTCTGCAACTGTTAGTCGGGATGACAAGTCAAGTGGAAGTGCAGCGGCATCTTCCACATCTGGCGGTTCATCCCGCAACCTACCGCTGCTTGTTCAAGTTCCTCAAGGTACTAACAGCTTGGCGCCAAGTGTCAGCTCGCCAACAGAAGAACACAGGAGACTATCAGGTTCCCTAGAGATGATGGATTCAGAGTCGAGTAAACTAGATCAATTAATTCAAGGTACAAAAAATACCATGGTTTTTTTTAGGCTTTATAGCTCACATTGTTTCCATTTACTGATAATAAATACTTTGAAATAAATTTCTTTCTCCTTACAGGTGTGGACCGTAATGATCTGCAAGACAAATCACTGTGTTGTTGTTGGTGCAATGGTTGGGCAGAGATTTATGTCCGCAGACCCACTGGTTTGTTAAGCTTTGGTTACCTCGTCTTCTTTTGCATATTGTTGACTATTTGCTAGATTTCTAATCATATCTATGTTTCAGGCGACATGTCATGGGTCATGAGGATACAAAATCAAAATTCTGTATTGGATTTATCTGATGTTCCAACATTATTCCTTCCATCATTGATGAAAAAGGAACAGTCTGTTCCCACTGTTCTAAGCTTAAGTGAAAGAAACAGTATAGATGTTAGTACCTTTGCCCATTTAAACATATTGTTTAAAAGTGTGTCACCATGCAGTGTGGTGTATTGTTTCTGTTTTGTTTTGTTCTAGGATGCTACTTTGCCCATTTCAGAGGAGAATGCTGTCAGTTCTTTGGTTTCTTTGCAGCCAGCTCCTCCGAGTGCTCAATCAGAGCCTGTTAATATACCAGCATCTCCTATACGCAGAAGTCCCTCTAGACAAAGCTCGCGCGATAGCCTAGACGAGGAGGAGGAAGAAGAATGTGACCCAGATGCTGAGCTAGATGGTGAGTTTACCTGTTTCATTTTGTCAACTTTCTAACAGTCATCATCAAACAAACAAATTTTTAACATGTTGTAGATGGTAGCGGAAGAGCTCGAAATCCTGTTCGGAGATCCAATTCAAGCCCTGAAATGAGTGCTGGGTGGAGGAATCCATTTTTGTCCTCTGCAGCAGCAGATAGAGAAAAGATGGACAAGATGACCAAACCCTCTTATTCAAAGGATTTGAGGTGAGTGTTAACTTCCTATAGTTCAGAGCAAACTAGGGCATGAGCCAATAAACTCATGTCATTAAAGGTTAAATGTTTATTTACTATTCTAAAATTCTAAAATTATGGTACTACAGGGCTAATTGTGAGGCCATCCCAGAAGAAATTGCTGGCCTTGGTACCACTCCTCCATCATCATCACCTGGATCTGAAACACTGCAGAAAGCGTTGCGCCAGAATACTTCAGCAATTATTTCATCAAATGTTGCTGAGAGCCAAGCCACCACAGTGACTTCTGCTGCTTCTAGTAATTTAAGTATAGGAAGTACCTCTACTACTTCTCCTTTAGTGACATCTTCCTTGAAGGTGGGTTACCCACTCCAAGCATCCAGCACAACTAATGTCTACCCAACATCTCCTCTACTTCTCCCCTCAACACTAACTACTAAGCCACCACTTTCTCCAACACAAACTCGGCACATGAATGAACTGGAACAAAAAGCGAAAGTCAGTGGCACAGCAAGCCCTAATGTCATGGGAAAGGATCGTGTGCTAGCCAGTGGCAGGCTTTCAAGTGGGAGTGCAAGCAGTAGTGTTGGAGGAAGCACTTCAAGCCTTGATAGCAAAGCAAACACAGAACAACTACACCTGCAACTTGATAGACGGGTCCAGCAAACATCAGCTCCTGCATCGCCAACAACATCTCATGCTCACAACTTGTCTGCAAGTGCTGAGAGGGTATGTTTTAAACTTTCACATGGGTGCTCTTCGACTGAAATTTATTTGTTAATTGTTGAAAATTCCCTTTTCTTTCTCTCAGATAAACCGTGATGATGGAAGCCTTCGACAGGATCCAGCCGCACTCCCACCTCTTGCTTTCAAAAGAGACAGAGGACACACTATATCAGTTATGAGCCCAGTTCGAAAGCCTAGATTAGACTTAGATGCAAAACGGAATAAATCTATCTCTTCATCCCCTAGAAGCAAAGAGACACAGCAGCGGTCCAGTGTAAACCCAAAGTATGACACAGTTTTAAATATCTACCTTTGTATTATGAGTCATGTGGATTGTTAATGACAATTTTTATATCTGTTCTAGTTTGATATTTCTTCAACTGTATCACTCTTCTTATTTTGGAAGTAGCACTGAAAAACCACTTTTGGCTAATAGTGATGGGCTTAAACTTGCTATCAAAAATTTTGACCGCATGCCGCCTTATGAAACTCACAAAGTAAGGTTTCAGACAAGAAGCACTGAAGAGTAAATTAGTGCCTTTTGCCATTGATTATTTTCACTTAGTATGCCCAATAATGTTTTTCCTCTAAATTTTCTCAAACAGGTGGGTGTGTTGTATGTTGGTTTGGGCCAAGCCAACAATGAACAGGAGATTTTACGCAATACAACAGGATCTCTCAGATACACAGAATTTTTACAGGTACAGTAAGTTCAACTCTGCCTGCATTCTCAATCAGTTTTGCTGTCTTAACTTTCTGGTTCTTAATTCCATTCACAGAGATTGGGATCCTTAATTAGTCTAGAGGATCCAGATCCACATCTGTTCTTGGGTGGACTGGAGAAAAATAAAGATGGAAAGTTTGCATACTTTTGGCAAGATGATGTCACTCAGGTATGTTATCTAAATTGATTGCTCAATTCTTTTTTATCCACGTATGTGGATGTATGTGAACTTACCACATTACTTTTGCCTATAGGTAACCTTCCATGTTGCAACATTAATGCCAACTAGAGATAGTGATCCCTCATGTACTGACAAAAAAAGACACATAGGTAATAACTATGTCACTATTGTCTTTAATGAAAGTGGTGAAGATTTTCATATTCAAACCATCAAGGTGAGTTTGTTGCTTTCTTATTTCCTCTTTTTCCAGTCTTTTTTCCAGTCAGGTATTTTGGAAGCTAGAGCAATATATTTATACATATCTTTACATTCAATATTTTTCAGGGTCAGTTTAGTTATGCCTGTGTGGAAATTCAACCTTTAGACCATGGCTCTAACCAAGTTACCTTGCGCACTCGTGATATGCTGAAAGATTTGGGGTTGACAAGTGAACCTAGAGTTGTCTCGGATTTGAATTTAGGAATTCTTGCAAGGCAACTTGCTCTCCATGCAAATGTAAGTGTAGTGGCTATTCAAATGTGGCTCCCATAAATTATGGGAAAATAAATAGCTATGCTATTGGAGTTCTAAAACTTGTGACCAACTAATGAACATTTATTCCAACAGCTGGCGTCCAAAAGCTGGAGTGGCAAGGAAAGGGGAAATATATATGCATCAAATTGGCTTGAGCGACTAAGAACCATTAAAAGAATGCGTGCCAAAATCATACAAGAATCTAAATCTGAAGATAATAGCGGCCCTGTAAGCACAAGCAGTGGTCACAAACCTCCGATAGATGTAAACAGTCGCATTAATCGTAATCTACCAGATGATTTCACTGAATATACTTAATATTTACCCAATAACAATGCATTATTATACATGTTTTGCATCACAAGTCTGTGAAAAAAAAACTTTTTTTAAAAAGAAAATGATTTTTTTTTTTTAAAGTTTAATAGGTCTGTCATTGATATAATCTGTAAAGACAAATGTGTCTCAATCAGTTCCAAATGATATTTTATGTGCTATTTTTGTTGTTTCCCCCTCTAGTCAAAAGTATATATCCTATCAGTAGGGTTAAATTATTTTGTGTATTGAAGACTAATAGTAATGTGCATTTAAAGCATGTTACCTATTTACTTGCACACTTCACTAACAATTTTTATGAAATTTTCCAAATTTTGTTTGATTTTAAGAAGTCAATGTAATCTCCTATTTAGTTGTGCCAACTTTGTATCAAAAGTTCGTTGCGTAAAGTGGGCTATTCTGAGTTCATTTGGCTGAATAGCCTGCTGCAAGCCAAGGCAATGTTATCATGTTAGATCTTTGTGGGTGACATCATCTTTCTTGACCTTGAATTATGTATATGTCTAATCATTTTGATTGTTTCGGTCACAGGATAGTTGTAAAATGTTGTCTAGCCCCCTATTATGGCTACTGTTTATACCATTTGTGTTGTAGTTTCTCCTGTGATTTCAAATTCCCTATCAGTCCTTCTTTTCTCAATCAATTGTTTTACACGGGTAATGGACTTATCAACAGCTCTACTGAATAATTGGTGCATTTTAATGTATTTTCTATGTGATTTTGTTATGCCATAACATATTCTTTAAAAATAAACAAAAATGATATTTTATTAAGGCCAAATTTGAACTTGATAGACATTGGAATTCACTTAAACAACATTTTCACATGCAATTGATGGTAAGTTTCCTGGCAAATCATGTAGTTTCAATCCAAATCTGACTGTTGTGAAGGGATGAGGGGTCCTATTTTGGGTTCCCCGCGAGACTTTCTAGGGCACCCCAAAATTTCGTTACTTTGGAGCTACGACTCACGGTTTCCGAGGAATTTCGTGTTTTCTGATTTGGAGATTTAGACAGCAAGTGCGCAGCTTGAGCTCTCTCACTCGAGAGCTTAGGTGTATTCTCTTCTTAAGAGAAATCCTCTCTAGCAGCCGCATGCGTAGGGCCTCGGGTTGCCCGTGCTTCCCGAGCTTTACAACGCGCCAGGCGCCTGCGGAGCGAGCATAGGCAACCCCGCGGGGCTTGCGCGTCCAACGGGACGGTCTGCACGCCAGGCGCTCCACTTGAGGATAACCAAACGCTAACCTGTTATGTTATATTGAAAAATTCAACAACTGCTGGAAATAGTTGTGATCAGTCTGGCAGACTCACACTTACACCCACATTCGAATAAAATACTTTTTGGTCATCTTCAGTTTTTGACTGTCAAAGAGAAAAGGGCGTGAAGGTGCCCCCACGATGAGCGGGGCCGGCGCCAAGGTGGGCCCTCATTCAGTCTCTCTCTTTCTCTCTCGTGCGAACTTCCCGCGCCTCCCAACGACGTCTTCATCGCTGCAAGTGATACTGCGGCTGCGACTGCTGCTGCTGTTTGGCGGAGCGCTGTTGCTGCTGCCGCCGCCGAGTCTGGGCCGCTGCCTTCTGCTGCTGGTACTGCACCCTCGTGCCGGTCCTCTTCTTCGCCTGCTGCTGAGTCTTCAGGTGGGCCGGGGCGGAGGCGGCCGGGGCGGCCGCGGCGGCGTGAACAGGGCTCGGGGCGGGGCCAGCTGCGCCTTTCTTCGTGATCCTGGCGAGAGAAAAGTGACCGCGTGGCATTAGGGCCGTGTTCAAGTGAAAAGCCAAATCAGGCCCCCTACCCAACCAGCTGGAGCCTGGGGACTGACCTGCTGCTGGGCTGCGCCGGCGGCTGGGCGGGGGCGGCGGGGGCCGCAGCCTCCCTACTGGGGGTGGGCCCCCTGGACCGTGGGGGCGGCGACGCGTCGTATTGCGGCCGGGGTCTGG